AATGCACCTCCTTCAGTTGACCCAGTAAGCTTTGGGCACTCCATGAGGCCTAGAAGTTGGCGAAGTCGTCATACAGGGGATGGTCTTCGAAGTGGTCAATAAAGTTCTGGACTGCCACCTCCCCCGCAGACTTCAATTCCTCCTTCAAAGAGGCAATCTCCTCTGACTGGGCCTCTGTCTGCTGCCTCAGCTCTGCCTTTTCGCTATTGGAGGCCTCCAGAGCATCGGTGGCGAGCTTGTGGTGCTCATTGGCGTGATTAAGTCGTCGAGTCATAGCAGCCACTTGGCATTCCACCTCATAGAGCTCTTTCTTCAGCCGATCCACATCTGCTTGCGCAACAGTAAGCTGGGCCTCAGCAGCTTTCTTCCCCTCCTCTGCCTTTGTGGCTTTGGCCTGGGCCACCCGCACAGCATCCCCATAATGCATCGCCTCCTCGAGGCGCTTCGCGAGGTCCTCCTTCTTAGAGTTCAGATCCTTCACCAAGCTCTCGAGCTGGATGCTTGTGCTTAGGGCCCGAGCCACACAGGCACTGTTCGCAGCCACCAGATCTTCAGCCGTGCAGGAGGCGGTGTGGTCCCTCCACTCTTCTGTCCAATATTTATTGTGGACCACCGCCACCGCAGCTGTTTCGGGAAGAAGAGCCTCCAACACCTCCCTTACGAGCTCCTCAGGATTGGTGCCCAGGAAATCAACCTCCTTAGAGGGACGGGGCCTTTTTCTCCTCGCTGCCCCGGAGTTTGATCAATGGGCACTGCAGCAAGGGGTGCTGTGTCCGGGGCAGCGACAGGCTCAGTCGGAGCGGGGCTTCTCTCCGGGAGGGCCACCCCGTGGGAATGGTGGTCTGCCTCAAAACTGGGGGTGGTCTCGCCATAGTTGGGCGTCTGGGAGGGGCGGCACTCTTCTTGCCCTTCCTTCAGAGGTCAGCCTCCGGGTCCTCCTGAACTTCCTCCTCCGTTGGAGGCTGGAGCCTCTTACTGGCCTCCACCAACTCCTCCATTTGCCTTTTATACGAGGAGGAGGAGGCCTTCAGTGTCCGTGCCTCAGCCATCATTTTCTGGATGGTCTTGAAGTCGGGGCGCACTGGCAGCTTCTTGTTAAAGTTATCTGCAAAGAAACAAATAAGGAATTAGTACAAGTCTAGGGAGTTCGGAATAAAAAGTAAGGACTTCGGTCCTATTACCTTGAGACGCCATTAAATCGTGAGTAATAAAATGGATGTTCTTCCGAATCAGCCTGTGGTAGGACCTCTTCTTCTGAGGCAGCTGATAAATGACACAAATGGTGTCGAAGTCCTCCGTTGATAGCTCACACCGAGGAAGAGAACCTACAAAGGAAACATAACTGTTAGACACAAGTCGAACCGAAGAGAAATAAAAGAAGCAACTACTATACTCACTAAGTGTTGAAAACTTCGTTGGAACTGTAAGAGGCGCTAGGGGGTCCCCCTCCATCGTGTCCCATCGCCCTGCTGCCCAACACCATGAGCTCTTCCATTCTTTGATGGAGCTCGGCAGATCGACCACGAATGGAGTGTGGGAACCCCATAACGTAAGGTAGTACCAACCCCGGGTCTTATCCCCCCCGACAGTAACCTTGGGAATATAGAGGGTCTGAAAAATGGAAAGGGACATCTCCACCCCTAATGACGCCTCTTTCCACAACATTCAGGAGCCCACCATCTAGCTCCAGGAGTTCGGATTGAGCTGCGTCGGGGCTAGCCCATAGGACCTAAGCACCAACCTAAAGAATTGGTGGATAGGCAGCCTAAGTCCTGCCCTAAGGATCGCCTCACTAATGGCCACACAGCTCGGCCTTGGGTAACAGGCTCTCTCTTCCGGCCTGGGGAGGATTAAGTCTACGCTGTCAGGGATCCTATACTCTATCCTAAGTCTACCCAGGTCGGCCTCCCTTAATTTTGATGGGTAGTCCGATGCCCCCCAATGCACAGAGGTATCTGGTGGGCTATCTGGTCGTTTCCATATGTTCTTCCCCCTCCCCTATTATTGCCCCAGCTATTTTTGAGGAGGTCGCCACAATGGGCTCGTCCACCCTCACTATTTCTAAACCCCTCCCTGCACCAGAACTCCCATCCGAGGCCATTTTTTAAAAATTTAAAAGCCTAAATAGGTGCTGAAACTTACGGGTTTGGAGGTTTTCCTAGCCGAATATGGTGTAAGGTCGCCGGAAGCCTAGTTTTTCTCGCCGAAAGTCTAGTTTTTTCTCGCCGAAATTGCTTGCAAAACGCCGAAAATCGCCAAAAATTTGAGAGCAAAGTATAATCTTAGTTTTGCAAGGGTAAAAAGTCTGAGAAAACCCCAGAGTCCTCCTTTTATAGAAAAAACATGTCCGATCTCCACCATTGAATTCAAATGCGATCAATCTAAGCCGTTCGTCGCATCCTCAATCTAGGCCATTGAAATGAAACGCCAGATTTGATCTACGCCCAAGATGTCGCTGTGACTTTCACGCTAACTTGAAACGCGTCACCTCGGTTACAACCAGCCGTCAATAATAATTAGTAGCCGCAGCAGCCTTTTAGGAGAATGGGCATGGCACCCAACTGTCACCTTGAAAACGCGCAACAGTTGTCAAATCATTTGACGTTTGGGTCGCCTCGGATTGAGCTCCTGCTCCAACTTTACAAAGCTTGGACGCACCTGATGCGAAGGTCCTATTGGGTCATCGCCTCGAACGCTGTGTTTCCTCCCATGTTTCACAAAGTTTCAGCCATCTTCCCACGCGTCGACCTTTCGGGTCAGCGCACCGGTGACAGATGAGCTCCTCCTCCAACTTTACAAAGTTTAGACGCACCTGACGCGAAGACCCTTTTGGGACATCGCCTCGGACGCTGCGTTCCCTCCCATGCGTTACAAAGTTTCAGCCCTCCCAACGCGTCGGTCTGTGGGGTCAGCGCACCATATTCACGAAGCTTCGGTGCACCTTACGCGACGTCCCATGCTGCTTGACCACCTCGAACGTTACGCACAATAACGAAGCTTTGACACATCTGCCTATTATCATGACCTCGATTACTGCGACGGATCAACCCCCAAAACTCCCATGACTTGCGATCCGGTCAGGAAAGCAAGTCCACGCATGATATAAATATTCATCCCCGGACTTAGGGGACCACTGTCACGCTCCGATTATATACGCCTCAGATACCAAAGTGATCCGAGGCCGAGATCAAGTGGACCCCCCGCAGCACCATTTATACCGACCTGAAAACGACCCTTCCGAAACTTCTCCGAAGTGATATAGCGATTCCTACTACTGGTCTGCCGAAGCATCTCACCTCCGAGGTCGAGATCAAGTGGACCCCGGTTAGAAGATCCGCCGCCAATTTGAGATTTGTCCTATACCTAAGGCTTAAATTGATTTGACGTCTCCATGAGGCTAGTTGATGTGACTTATCAACTTTACGTTAATTCAACTCAAAGGAAACAAACTGTCCGCCCACTCTACAAACGCGACTGATTGACGCCTATGAGCAGACGCTTTATACCGTCAGATGTATACACGCGTCCCACATCCAACGGTTCATACCACCTATAAATACCCAAAGTTTGGCAAGAGGCAAAGGTAATGAAACTTTTAATACACAGCACTCCATAACAAGTTTATATATTCTCCTCCCCCTTTATTGATCGATTTGTATAGCCCCTGGGTACTGTTCCGATCACCCAAACCTGACTTGACCGTCGGAGTGTATACGGTCGCCACCACCCCCGTTGTTCCGGCCGTGTACGCCTGACTATTTGTTGATTGTGCGCAGGGAGGAATACGTGGAGTAGCTTTCAGTTGGCCACGTGGAAGGACCAATTTCTGAGGTCAACAATACGAACAGTGAAATTAACGATGAGAAAAAGAGTATTACGATTTCTTCTCTTTTTTTTTTTTTGTTTTTCTTTTGGCGGATTATCAATTTGTGCAAACAGGTCAACTTATGGTCGGGTTTCTAGAAGAACTTGGATATATAGGGAAAATGTTTTTAAAAAAATGTAATAATAATAAATTTTCACCTTAAATTATTTACATTATAGCGTATTAAACATGTATCAAGGAATTCATAGCTATTGACATCCAAGGCTAAAGATTTTTAGGCTTAGTAAGTTAGAATATATAAAACAATAAAATATTGATCACGGTTTTATCAGATACTGTATGGATATCCAATACTAAATGTCAAACATGATTAGTACGTACAAGGAAAATCTTAAGTCTTCTTCTTTATTGTTCCGAGCGAGGATATTTAAAACTGAATGTTTTGGGACTTATATGTAACTCGTGAAATCAAGGCGCCGGATGCTACATAGGGTAAAAGTGGCAAGTGGGTGTGTCTTAAATAGGTAAGATTGAATGCAAGTCTTTTTCTGGGTCAAATTTGAAGATTAAGTATTTCTGTTTTATTATCAATATGAGTAACTTTGCTGTTTAAAACATAAACTTGAGAAATTATAGGCTTGTTGAGACTTTAGAGATGGAGATTGCCACTCTCAAGGCTTTAGGATGTGTTTTCTTGTACTTTTCCAGCCTTCTCTCTTGTATTCTTTCAGAACCGGGCTAGATCTACATAAATTTTTTCACAGAAGTGCTCCACAACTCTCACAACAAGGGTGGGTGGGTGAATTTTTTACCAATTTGTTATCACCACATGTAGGCCACTAATGTGAGTTCTCTGGCAGAGTTCTGTACAAGGGGCTTCGGCTACTCTTGCAAGTAAACTTGAGTAAAATGTATTCAGTTGTAGTATATTCTTTTCCTTATATTTGAATATTGCAACTCCACGGAGGTAAGGTTTCCATTCCCCTCGTACTATTTTATCAATATATTAGGGTGAAGGACAATGCACAAAATTGCCATTTTTGTTAAGATAAGTAGGGCTAAAAACCACTATCTTATTTGATTGAACTTCGCCGAAAAAGAAGAAGAATAAAGCAAGAGGCCATGACAATTTCCCATACACTGCAAAGCCAAATGTATTCAAAATCATTTCAAATTAAACGTGAAAATATAGATCATGTATCTATAAAAACTAATAAGTAGTATGTGACCAGAGATATTACATTTTGTTCATGGAAATTGAGTAATGACTTGAAATACGGTAACTGTTTACTGTAATTTACAATATTCTAAGATATAAAAGCATATCTAGGTAGCCTCTTTCTGCGTGTCTTTTTTATCATTATTAATATAATTTTCATATTATAAGTATTAAACATTAACTTAATAATGACTACATTCATGTCTAAACTTGAAATAAAATCAAGTCTTGAAGCAAGGCTTCCTCTGTCCCTCTTCACCTCCAACCCTAGTCACTTGCCAATCTCAATCCTGTAAGAAGAGTTCAAGAATGAAAATAAGTACTTAGAATTTGATATTAAGTGAAAACATCTATAATTATGAATGGAATATTATAGATAAAGAGAAGTAGATCCTTTTATTTAGTTGCGAGTGACATATAAATTACTCGAGCTTTGCAAACTAGTGTACTGGAGAATTGGTACATCCTATATGGGTTTCTCCTTACAGTTAAGAGTTCAGAACACAAAATCCCAGCCTAAATTCATGAATGTCGATACATTCACGGAAAAAAGTTCCCGGGCAGCAATCTTCTATGCTCGTTCCTAGGAAAACTCTGTAAACTTAGCCAATATAAGTCCGAGTGCAAGGAGTTTGTACTATTTCTTTGTTTGGAGCTATGTAAGAGTAATGATCAACAAGCTTGTGTAGGAGATCTTACCAACGTCATAGCTCTAATTTGAGCTCACCGTGTATGTATTCAATGCCCCATTACTGATATCTTGCTATATTAACTGGTGTCATTTAACCTCACAGAGTTAAATCGTTAAAGAGGCATCCTTCGTGAATTTCGAGGATGGTCAAGATGTTAGGGTACAATTTGCAATCAACCCAACCATTTAAAACATAAAACGAACTTTCATTGGACAATGCCAGAATCCACTAAATTTCCCTGGAAGGTCATATATACACATACCTTAGGGAAGAACCACAAAAGTAAAAAATTCATTAGTTGATCTAGAATTGAAAGATAAAAATAACCTTTTTTTAAGACTAAGAGCTCATTTTTAAAATGTTAACCATATTAAGAACAGAATTCAAGCCCTTATAGGTCAGTTAATATTTTTGTACTTAATTGATATGAAATTTATCCTTAACATGTCTACTGATGACTCGTTTGAGAATACAAATCTTGAAATCTAAATGCTTCTTTGAGGTTTAAACGGATCAAATTGCTTATTTGAATTCTAATATCATATTAAGATTTGAAGTCCATCTTGTTTAGAAGAATAAATGAAGCTGTTAATATTTTATAATTTAAACTGTGTGAGTTGCACCCCTTAGCAATACTATAATAAGACTTGATGTTCCATCTTAAGATAGCAATCTTATTAAGAGGAATAGATCAAGCATATATAATAAAAGTCATATGAAATTTTATTAATAGATTTCCTACCACAACAATTTGTAGAAGATACATGTTAGGTTAGTCAAACCACTAGCAAAATTAAAACCTAAATATAATAACTGCAAACAGACACACATGCACTGATGGACACAGATAATGTCCAACAAGAACAATGCATAAAAAGGAGAACCAGATACCCTCTTAGAATAAACAAGAAATTAAATTGATAAATGAGTTCAAGCCATTTCCACTTGGCTTCCCTATATTCCTAGATTTTAATGAAATAAATGTTATCTCAAGGCAATCTAAACAACTTGTATATATATGTTGAACAATGAAATTATTAAAATTATATATTTAAGTCATGATTGGATTTATTTTTCTACCAAAAGTCTGACAAGCGAATAATCTATGGCGATGAGACCAGAACTCAAGACATATGTAGCACAATATTACGAATAAATTCGAGTTTATTTTTCTTTATTTGTCCTATTCATTATTGTTGAATTCAAGATAGCAAACGTGTAAAAAAAGCTTGAGCTTTATATCGATCTTATTGCATCAAATAATTGAGCTCTTAATGGTATAAAGATGCTCTCAAGATATGCAATAATTAAACTAATGATTAGAATTTGTAGGGATAGAGTTATAATCTATTTATATTATAGAACTGAGCCTACTAGTGATTGAGACTATTGTACCATTACATTTTCTAATTGAAATCTTAAGTATTCATGAAGGTACAAAGTATTGCTATTCTAAAATTAAATCTCTTGGTGGAATCTCATCATTAGAAGAATCTATACATGACAAATTTCTAGATTTTGGAAATCTCTATCAAATACCATGATTGGAGAAACAAGGAAGAATTCCTATCAATGCCTTGATTGGAGAATATGATCACAAATTTTAACTGATTATAGATGGAGTAATTAACTCATCAAGCTCTCCATATAATTAAGAAGACAAAGAACTTTGGTGGGACAAAGACACAAGAATGTGATTCATTTTGTTCCTACTGAAGGGTGGATTGGTTCAAGAATAGAGGTTGGTTTTGGGTGGGTGGTTCAAGAGCGTGATCAAGATGATGAAGGAGATACTCATGGTGAACAAGTTTGTCGTGCAGTTCTTCAAACAAAATCAACGAATCCTGACAGAGAATGAAGCAGTACAAAGAGTTCCTTGGGCTAATCACGTCATCTAAAAACTCAAGTTGTTGCACAAGAAACAAATATTCATCTAATCTTGTCTTCAACATGCCTTTCATGTACAGGCCAGATTCATTGTTTGATCAAATTATTGACATAGATACAATTTTCGTAAATGAATAATAACAAGACTTAGAATTGGTTCTTTTACCTGAATGTAGTATCATGTTAACCATCTCATCTAAAAACTTAAATATTAAAAGAAAAATAATTAAATCTTGTATTCAACACTTTGAATGCAAGTTTGAGATATGAGTATTCATCTAGGAATGGTCTTAATGGATATCAAAAAATCCATCAAAGTAAAGTGAGACAATTTGTCCTTGAGATAGATGACAAGAGAAATAAGATTTCTTTTTGCAAAGCGTCGAGCAAAACGGGACTAGCTGTTGGTTGGACCAAGCAAATGATACCAACCCAATCACCATTTTAGACGAGACAAAGATCCCTTCAAGATGAATTAGTCTTGATGGTTCCAAGCAAAATAAGCTGGGATCGACTACAATTACTATATGAAATCTTCTATTTTATCCCTTTCCTCCATACCTATTGATAGGGCATGTGAGGGAACCAACAAGTTAACACAGCAAAATCAATACTATATAGAAGAGGGACTCGAAAATAAACACATTATTCTCCACCCTCCATATGTTCCTCTCCCAATTCTTTTATACTGATATTCTATATTTCATTATCACTTCTTTCGGCCCAATTGAAATCGAATGAATTACATTTGTCTGTAGGTAACAATAAAAGTTATATGTTTTTTTAATGCAAGACACCACTAAATACAGACGTCGGCGAGGACAAACAATTTAGCCATGAACAGAAATCTCGCAAGTCAAATAATTATATACGTACTAGGTACAAGTTCAAGAAATAATTGTCTTGAATTTGATGATGCGTGATTATTTATTGAAGAAGAAGGCTTTTTGTATATATTCTAAATGATTCATAATATTATTCTATTCATTGTGCTAAACAACTTATACCTCAAGTTGTATAAAATTACACAGACAGGATGACACACTACAAAATCATTCATGGGGCACAAAATCTTCCCGAATCCCAAAATAGGACAAGATACAAGTGAAAAGGGAAACATTCTACCAGAGACTAAATAAATAAAATGAGAGCTTTTAAAAATTTTAAATTAACTAAATACATGTGATCTATTTCAAACTGTTTAAACTTTAAGATGAGATGGTTAACATGTTATGAAAGCGATACACTGTATTTATCTTCAAGTATTGCTACTCCCCATTTATGAAAACTATGCACAGTCACACTTTTGATCAAAAAAATGAATTTGATTTAAAATTAGAGGACGTTTAGAAAACAAAATTTATATAAATATAGGTGATCCGTTCTTAAAAGCTTAGGTCGTTAATAGAAAGCTAGAGCGGGAGAGAGAACTAGCTATAAAAACAGTCCTAAATAAGTACTACTAAAACTAGCAGCTGGTTCTATTAAAATTAATCCATGGGATTAGGGTTTTTGGGATGTGGATCTAGGGTTTCTTGGTAGTATATATATAACACAGAATATACGATTGACTTTGTCATGTGGTCCTGATCAAGAAAATCTATTTTGATGTGCCCATCATTTTTAATTTTCATTTTTCCTATGAAATTAACTGTTTCGTATCCTTAAACAGTACAGAAATTTAACAATAAAACCCCACAAACAGGAAAACATAAATTCACTTACCATTTTTCGTCTTCAGACATCATTAAAATCAGCTATCTGGATTATTGCTTGGATTAATGTTTAGCTGCTCCTCTTGTGCCTTGTGTGGATTGATAATTTTCTTCTTTTTCTTCTTCTTCTTGTACGGAATTCCTCTAGCCTTAGCTTGACACTCCTTCACTTTCCTCAGATACATACGGATTGATCCATTCCCAAACGGGTTCGACTCAGGTGATCCGCCGTGTTCTTCGTAAGCGGCTCTTAGCCGTCCGATCAGTGCATCAAGGCTACCCCAAGCTTGCTTAAGAGGACAAGTACAGGGTGCAGGAGGATCAGGTTGTCCAAAAAACACACAACCTTGTAAATGAACTTTAGTTTTCCCAAACTGATCGAGGTACTGGAGAAATTCAAGAACATGGTTGCAATTGCACTGTGAAACTGAAATTGGAGGTCTTTGATTCTTTAAGTACTGTCCAAAAGTGTTCCAATCCCTCCTCTTTTGAGACTCATATCTGCTTAGAGGTGGTGCCGGTGGGGGCTGCTGCTCGCCGCTGGATCTAATCGATCCTTCTGCAACGTCATTGGACATCATCGTTGCAGAAGAATTCATGTTCATATGAAGTCCACCCTAAATTTATAGAGAATAGAACTTCGAAAATTCTAGACAATTTTTGGCAATAAATGGGTTGAAAGAAATGGGGAAGGAACTTGAAAGAAAATGGAATGGTTCAGTGGAGAAAGATGAACATCACATCTTCGGTCTATTGAGGAGACATTTTATGGGCCCTGGGAGGTGCGTCTGTTCCGCCTTTATTTTTTTTCTCTCTCTATATCTATCTATATAGAGATAGATCTCACATGCACTCATTTTAAAATTTCTCTTTTTAATATACTAATTTAGAATTACTTTTTCAAATTACAATCCATTATTTTAAAATGGATCATAAGTACAATTATTACTATGGTCATTAGCATTAGTCAACAATTTATAATTACCCGTGACTTAAGAATAGATGCAACTTCTCTGTTCACACAAATTAGCATGTTTCAAAGAGATTCACAAAGGTTTCTTGCTTCATGTTTAGCTAAAGTTATAATTTCATTATAATTTTGCAATAAATTCAAAAATTAATATTAATCAATACATTCATAACAATTACACCCTTATTATCTACACATTTAATGAGTCACACTCCTTATTTTCGTTAACATACTATTATAATTTCTCTTTAACATTCAGGTTGCGTTATATCGATGTACTTAGAATTTTTTTTTTTTTTTTTTCCTGCAAATCTGCCCAAGACAGAAATTTATTGGTAAAAAAGAAAATAAAACTTTAGAAGAGACGTGTCAACCTTAATTTCAAAAGCATAAAAATTTCTCGAGAACTCTTCATTTTGTTGTCAATATTTCAATGAAAAGACTGGCTGCTATTGAAAAATGCTAAAAGATTTTAGTATTGTTTATCATGAAATCATTTTTGTCAAAATGGGTCTAGAGAAATAGTATCAGAATCAACCTGAACCTACCGAAGCACTCAAATCCGATTTAATTTTGACATTCAATGATATACACATTATTTATATCACAATCACTACTCATGAAGCATTATTAACCTACATTAATAAAATATTATCCCTAATCCACTGCTAATTATATATATTGGTCATTGGTGTATCTTTCTTAAATATACATAATACGAAGTCCTATTATTAGTAAATTTACAATCAAATTTTGTGAATTTGTTTTTCTTTTATTTTTCAAATAACAATGTCACCATCCAGGTCGCAACATTAGCAACATAAAGCTTCTTTTGTCACTACTAGTACCAAACTGCATGGGATTCACATTTTCGCAACTATCTACTCTCATTCCATAAAGCAATTCAAGAGGAGAACAAGGACAACATATTATCACTAAAAGTTAGACTATACGAGGCTTAGTCCGAGCTCGATATTAAAAGGTCGAAAGCAAAAGCGTTTATTGCTTTGAATGGAAAACCTAGATGAATGTCGGTTCCTATCAGTCTACTATGGTGACTCCAATCCCAATTAGTGACGGAGTCAGGGTTTTGGCATAAGGAGGAAGCAATTGTTGAAGTGGCAAAATATACATATATTGTGTATTTACTAAAAATTTTAAAAATTCTATGTAGATTTTAAAAAATTCAAAATGTTGTAGGGACAGTCGCCTCCTACGCCCCCTTTTGGCTCCATCACTGGCCCTGGGCATATTTACCAGAAGAACCACGGGATGTAGGAAAATGTATGATTATGAAAACACAGCTTGCTCATGTATTATGAATTATTAAGGTTGTCAAATATAAATGGAAATACCATTCCCACTTTTGTTGCATTTCGGGAGTGGGTTATGGTGGACTAATGAGAATTTATTTTTTTCTTGTGGCAAAAGTAATAACTTTCAACTAATCTTGTCTTAGTATTTATTCTTGTGTTGCTTGCATTGGATCTTACCTGAATTAATTAATTTTTGTTTATATTAATTAAGAAATCTTGTTCATATGGTCTTGATTAGAAAATAAATAGCATCCAGGTACTTACTAAAAGAATCTACAATAATTGAGACATATTTTCCATTTTCAAAAATAAAATGCAGTCTTTAGTATTTTTTTCTTCTCTTATCATTTTATGTTATAAGTTTCATTAAAATTAGTTGTTTATTAATTTTACTACCAACTTATCACAAATGATTCCTTTACAAAATTTTAAAAATATTTTCGAAAACAAAATTATCCAGTCGATTCATCCCGATGCTATAATTAGTACATTGATCCTGGAAAACAGCCCAAAATCAAATCAATTTACATGTTAAGAGGGTTTTTGACACCCATTTTGTTGAAAAAATGAATTTTAAAATAGTATATTGATGGAGAATGTATGAATGAAAAATAAAGAAAAAGTTTTTTTATTTACGTGTAATATTATTTTATTAAAAAATGTATGATTAAAATGAAGAGAGAAAATTATATTTTAATAAAAATGGGAATCAAACGGGTTTAAAATTTGAAAGTTGAAACTTAGCCCATTTTTAAGCCACATTCTAGGGGAAAAAATGAATTATTCATGTCAAATCAATGGGAATTGTGCGGTTAAAAATAAGGAAAAATTCTAGATTTTCGTGTAATATTATTTTATTAAATATGTGGTTGAAATGATGTCAAATCACTATAGAAAAGTGTAATCTTTTGAAAATAATGTAGCTAAAAAAATCTCACAGTAAAATGGTCTCCGGACTGACAAGTTCACCTAGAAATTCGGTGAAACAAAACCCATTATATCCCTTCATTTTAGAGGGGGGAAATCTTGTTTGTTTGTTATTTATTATTCAATTTTTTTAAGCAATTATTCTGATATTTTTAACATACTTATTAACTTATGTCACATCCAAGACTTGGTACGTAAAATTTTATAACTGAGTGTCTACGATAAAATTTTGTTTTCTATGATATTATATGAAATCAAGTTATTTAAAAAATTTAAATCATTACATGTAAATAACATTTTTTCTATAGTACGTGGCTGAATCTAATTCATGAGCAAGGTTGAAATAACTAGACTCTGAAAAAGATGATAAATCAAAAATAACGAGCAGAGATTGTAATTTGAGCAATGATTCATAAAAAGTTGAACATTTTGTTCTTGAGATGGGTCCAACCATTACCAATTGTCTTTATTGCATGATTTTGATACTTGTGGTTTAATATAAATAAAAAGGGCAAATTACATATTCCTCCTCAAAATTGCTGAAACACTTAGAGGCATCTTTATTTAAAATAAAAATTTACACAAACTTTTCTTATTTCAAGTTTTGGATAACGCACGTCTCCTTAGAGCACTTCTCATTTAACAACAATGTATTACATCTTTTGAACATTCATAAGTTCACAAATTTATGACAATTTATTATTATTTTGCATTTTAGCTTCAATAGAGATTTGTTGAATGATCGATTAAGTGGAGTTTAAATAAATAATACACGGGTAGAAATGGAATGAAGTGGGGCCATGGTGATTTTTATCATCCCGCCACATTAGGGATTTTCAAGAAATGGGCGGTGATAAAGCGGGAGTGGGAGCGTGGCAGGAATTAAAATATTCTTATTTATCATTTTGCTTCAATTATTTTTTAACATACTTTTATTTTTAAAAATAAAATTTAAAATAAAAAATATAAAAATAAAATAAAGTGAAAAAAATTCAAAAAGAGTTCCAAAAATTCGAGATGGAGACCATGTTTCTCACCAGCCCTACTTACCTAACAAGGTGTGGCAAAGAATTTTGTCATCCCTATATCGCCTTCTTAAATATTTTGTTTCTAATGATTGATTTATGATAGGGGTGGACATTTTAATTGGTACTTAACCACCCAAATTAGAACCATTGATTTCGGTTCCAAAAATTACATGAAATCGAAGCATTCTATTTATAAAATACATAAAATTTAATAGGTGGTTACGGTTATTAAAATATTCGAATCGAAACTCAATTAGGAACCCTTTTTAAAAGAAATTACGTTTATAGATTATAGATTGTATAATCTCATTCGCTAATAGTATATTCAGCAAAGAAATTAGTCTCAATGCCATTGGTTTCCATTGTTAATGTGCAACAGAACTTGCTAAAGGAGATTTAGGGAAGTTGGAAATGAAACTTTTAGAAAACAATGCCATGTTAGAACCAGTCTCAAACCTAAACCTAAACTGAACTGGTGGTTTCAGTTTCCTTTTAGTTTAAGAAATTAAATGGAATCTAACACTTCTATTTACAAGATATCTGAAGTTTAATGTGCGATTTTGATTCTTGAAAAAAAATCGAACCAACCCATCTGACGCCCTCCACTAATTTATAGCCAAAATAAAATGTCTATTTTTTGTCAGGTTACAATTCAGTCTTGTGATTGGAGAACATGAACTAAACTGTGGTTATTACTTTGTCATTCATAAATGTATCTTAAACATTTCAAACCACCATTTTGAAGTGTTCATTGCCTAATATTTCACATCATTAACAACGTGCAAAACGATCAATCATAGCAAATATTACGGCTCGCCAAAGTAGGTCGTTTCAAACTAGTATTTTGATAAATTCAACAGCATGTTAATTTTAAAACTTCTCCGACAATCGTACGCTAGTCGAATCTACAAATCGCCTATGTCGTCTCTACAAATCGCCTATGTCGTCTCGAAACTAATTTCGAAAACTATATCATAGACGTATCAAATGGTCCAAATGGACAACGAAGATAATTAAAAGTACATCAAACATACATCTTAAAAAGAAACATATGACTCATCTTTTATTTAAATTTTTTTAGTTATTTCATTAATATTTATTATTTTTGCTCGACAATTTTTCAATATAATTTATATCATTTTATTAGAAAATTTTACATGGGATATGATGTAAAAAAAAATAATAAATAAAAATAAATCGAAATTTGGGTATGAGCTTTTCAAATGTAAATTTTCGAATAAAAAATTTCTCACAACCTTTTTGCAAGTTTAATTGTATCGCTCTAACTCAAAATGTCTGCAGATGTCACTAGACATTATCACCATTATTATACTAACATGTGAAAAAAATAAAATAAATAAAGGATTGTCAAGGACGGTATGCTTTATTTTGGTAAGCATTTATTGGAATTACTATTTTGAGGAAATGTGAACGAATAATGATATTCAGTGTTAAATTATTCTGATGTAATTTTTTCTTTTATTGTTCGATTCACTGCTACATGAAAATTCTCAAGAACTGTCGTCCTATATTATAAACTACC